CAGATTTGCCAACCCCGTAAGCTATTGGCAATATCCCATTGTTAGCATCCATGGCTACTGCTAATAAGTTTACTCCAAGGTATCGACCTTTCAAATGTGCTCCGTCAACTATAATAACTGGGCGCATGCAAGTAATAAACGAACGAATCTACAAAATAATATACACAAGAAATATAATCATTTAAATGTGAAATGCATGTAACTAACAAAAATGAGTCAACAAAATTATATTGATTTACTAACCGTAGCACCAATGGCGATAAACAGCAACTCAAAGCGTCCATCTCTATCTGTTTTGATATGAGTTACCGACCCAGGATTTTTCAGCTTTAAATTGTGACAATAAGCCGGCAGTTGGGCAAACGATGCTTCTGGCGACCCCCTCAACAATTCCAAGGCATAACATTTGGCTCTCCAAGCTTGAGAATATGATATACTAATCTTGAACCGAGCATTCATGTCAGTCATAATTTCATGTCCCCGATATACCCTGCCATTCAAAAACATTAACTCAGCCAGAAAACCACCCAACACCTTTTTGTTTGCCTGTCTATGGTGAGGAAAAACTTGGGTTCTTGAACATGTATGTTTATCAATAAAAGTCCTAACTTGAAACATTTTGCAATCTTTTATTCTCTTTGCAATCATACGCCACGTACAGTTTTTGTCAATCATACACCTTGTTTCGAAACGATCTTTGCTTGATTTGTTAACTTTTAGTTGATAGCCATCTTCCACACATTTCGTATATAAAGCTATCTTCAAGTCTTCCTTTGTATCAAAACAATCATCTTTCTTGATACGAATAACTTTTGTGTAACAATCAACTGCTTTCTTTATCAACTCTTCTTCCGGTATCTGAAGTAATTTTGGCATATTCCAGTTATACGCCCGTGGCATTTTCTTTTCTTCGGGGACTTTTTCTTCTTCTTTTTCTTCTTCAGGATTATATGAATTACAGAATGGATGTTCAACATGTTCATTCACAGTCGTAACTTCCTCCTCATTATCATCAACATTACATTCTTCGGCAACGGCTGTTTCATCATCAAAATTCGGGTATTGACCAATATCAATATCATTACACGCATGGTCTGTTTCTTCTTCTGAAACATCATCAAAATCCGTGTATTGACCAATATCAAAGTCCGGATATTGACCAAGACCAAATTTCGAATACTGACTAGTACTCACAATTTTTTCTGTTGGCTCATCATCGTCTAACTGGTCAATACGAAAACCGGAATTTGGTGCTGAAAGTTGATTGGGATTTGGATTAGAGAAAGGTTGTGGGTTTTGAGAAAACTTAGTTGATTACTACCCGCTACTGACCCAACAATACTACTTCTAGGTTCAACAACATACAATGTAACATCATCTTGTGAAACACTAATGTAAGCAATGAATCGTTCAACATCTTCATTGTCGGTTAACAAATAAACTTTACCATTTCTCTGATAAGATAGCCTAAATCCACTTAGGGGCTCTAAATTCAATTTATTTGAAACACGTAGCATTAGAGTTTCATAAGTTAACTTTTGTAAAGACAATTTTAGTTGAAGATTTATGGGTAAAGGCATATATTGTAAAACACCATTAACATTATCCCATGACCCTCCAAAACACAAATCTATCCAAACATGATCAACATTAGATGATTTCATGGTTGTAACTAAACAACGAGATGCGAAACTAAGACCTGTTGCCGGATGGGGAAGGATGTCGTTGGATATAGGAACGGATGTCGCCGGAGAGAGTGATAGATGGAGATGGAATGAGTTGCGATTTAGGGATTTAGTTTATGATTTCAGTGTTATATACCCAAAATTTCAGTGTTGTGATTTACAGATTCTCGTTGCGATTTTCGGATTATCGTTGCGATTTACAGATTCTCGTTGCGATTTACGGATTATCGTTGCGATTTACGGATACGCGTTGCGATTTACGGATTATCGTTGCGATTTACGGATACGCGTTGCGATTTACGGATACGCATTGCGATTTACGGATACGCGTTGCGATTTACGGATACACGTTGCGGTTTACGGATACGCGTTGCGATTTACGGATACGCGTTGCGATATACGGATACGCATTGCGATTTACCCATACGCGTTGCGATTTACGGATACACGTTGCGATTTACGGATACGCGTTGCGATTTATGTGTTCGCGTTGCGATTTTCATATTCGCGTTGCGATTATGGAAAATCGCAATGCGAATTTGTACTATCGCATCGCGATTTTCAAGAATCGCGTTGCGATTCTGGAAACTGATTTGCGATTCTGGGGATCGCGTTGCGATTTTTATTTCGCGTTGCGATTTTGTTGGTCATTTTGGCAAATCCAAAAAAAGTTGGTTAAAATCGTATATTATAACTTTTTTTTGGTCACTGAGGCGATTTTCTCTATTATTTTATCTGTATTCATATTTTATGTTACAAAATATTTAATATATTTACAGTCATTAAAATAATATTCATGACAGTTAACTATTTACCCATTTTAGACGTGTGATATCACCCTGGTAAATAATTGTTAAGTTTATGATTGAAGCTCACATTTATTTTAAACCTACTCATACTTCATTGACTATTTATGTTGTTCACCCTATTGTTAATAAGTGTTAGATCAATCCATAAAAATTCACAAGTACTATAATAATACAAAGAATGATAGTTCAATTACCACATTCAATACTTTGTCCTTATGGGTACTACATTACACATTTTAAAAGTACAAGTATCACATTAGACATTTTAAAAGTACATGCATTAATTATCATATTAAACATTTTATCAAAGTATGAGTACCAAATGTGACATTATACATAATAACAATAATAATAGTAACTGTTTCAAATGTCTCAAAGCCCAATCGAAGTTCTCATAAATTTTTTACAGTATACAAAATTTCAATTCCAAACTCAAAAACAAATAATATGTATAAGAAAATTAAGTTTATATTTTTACTGAAAAACAATGAAGATTCAAGAATCAAGACTAATCGAGTAAGGCTAGTTAAGTTTTGTCTCAATTAAACTCAAGCTACCGAACACTAAAAGTGACTCGACTGAACTTCTTATAACTAAGGCTCAGCAGGCACACAAGTACTAGTAAGAATATCAAGATTCAGAGCATCAACTAGTGTTGTACACATCAACCAACCACAGTATAAGAGTTGGGTGAAACCAAGGTCAAGGTAACACTGTTCCATATTTTTGAAGGAGAAAACAACTCGAAGACAATGTTGTAGGTTTATATCTTCTGTTAATGTAAATTTATCTCCATGCAGAATTAATTGACAACAAATATCATGAGAACAACAGAAATCAGCATATGGGTTAACTTGTGTGGTGAAGGTATCACCCAGCCGACAATCTAAATGAGCAATATAGTTACAGAATATAAGAGACAACACGAGGTTATCATGTACAATGAGTGCATGTCAGTGATTTCGTTATTGTAAATAAAGCTTTCTAGAACTGAATTATGCTGAGCTACAGAAGTATATGCAGAAATTTCACACTTTTTACTTCTCGTAAAATGCAGCAACCAAGTTATTGAATGAGTGAGAGGCATTCTAATTCCAAACCATTTTTGTCTAAGAAAAACATTTTCTTTTTCCTAAGAAAAACATTTTCTTCTTCCTCCATTATTCTTATCTAGTATAAGATTGAACCATATATTGTAGTCCAAGCTAGCACACTAGATTATAACAATACTGAAGATTATGACTAACATTATGTAATGAAATGCATGTTAAGGTCCACTTGAGAAGAAAGGTACATTCGAAAACCTAAGTCTAATTTGGAGACAAAGGTAGTAATAACGTTTAATGCACGTTTGGTTAGTAGGTAATAACATGGGGAAAACTTAATTATTACTATTAGCTTTAAAATAGTTTCCCATAACATAAAGAAGAACTAATACAAACTAAGCTTGAAATTAGAAAGATGAGTAAAAACTCAAGTAAAAAATAATACCTATTCAAAATAAGCAATATTTATTCCTTCTCTTTGTTCAAAGTAAGTCATGTGGTTGGCTAAAAATTACCAAATGAAAGTATGTTGCTAACTTATGTACTAAAACATGATGAATACACTCCTACCGAATGTAGCATAAAAGGTTTATTTAGGGACGAAGTATAACATTTAAAAGGGAAAAAGAATGACTCCCACTAAATGAACAACAGAAATTTAACCCAAAGCAACTCTAAAAAATCTTTCACTTTTAACTTGGAACGATCAAGCAATTCAACTTATGTAAGAACTTTGTTTGTTTCTAAGCTATACTATTCTGAACCCATCAGATATAGTTCATCTCTTCCCCGTATTTATATGGCCTAAATTAATTGCAAACGGCTTAGATCAAAGATAAGGTGAACTGCTTGATGGAGTAGATCATTCGTATGTTCCTCAGAAATCTGATACCCTACCAAGTGAATGACAATGCAATTACTTTGATGTGTTCATCGTGCTAGCTAAAGAAATTCATACCATTTGATTTGTTAAGCAGTACACGAAATCACTCCCTTCACCCATAAATCATCGGACTATGTCAATTATGCATAAAAAAATTGGAAAAAGAATTAAAGATCACGCAATGTTGATACCTCAAATTAACAAATCAGACACCTTCAAAAGAAACAATCTGCTGTTCTTTACTTGCTACAGCTCTAGAAATCTATAGGAGACCTAATATTCAATACTTGAAAAAGAACATCTCACAATCATTTGAATCCCAGTTTTCAGTAATTACCTCGTAACTGGCTCATACGGTTCCAAATTTTCTAGCAATTTAATAAAGCACGACAATGAAGAAATCGCAAAATAGCATAAAAAACCATAAAATATCTTGAATTTAGATTCCAACACACCCTAATAACATTGGGTAGCAATGCACAAATCAGAAATAAATTTGTTTATTTCAAAGTAGCAAAATTATTATTACTTCCAAAAAAACAACAGAAATGCACTAAAATTTCCCTCATTCATCTTGATTTTCCCTATAAATAATTATGGGATATCCCAGGGCTTCTGCTCGGGGACAGCGACGACCATACCTTGGAGCTGAGGCGTAAGCACGACCTGACATCCAAGCCTGGAATGCTTGTTCAAGATACGACCCCTCGAATTCCTCACCAACACATATTCCTCATCGTAAGTACGCGGCGGAAGCCTCTCGAGCCACTCCTGGGCGATGTTGACCTCACATTCGGCGGAGCAAGCGTCGATCTCCTCGAGGCGGTGAGAGGCGGGGTCGATCAGTCCGCAGTTAGTCAAGGCACGAAGTAAGGTCTGGCCCGCTAGTCCCACAACCTCACGCTTCTGGCCTTCAGGGTCGATGGCGAAGAGCTTGACGATCCGGTCAGCAACTTTCTTGGAGGAGGAAGGGGAGGGGGAGGTTAAGGTGGCGGAGGATCGGGTGAGGATTTGGGAGGAGAGTGAGGGGAGACGGTGGATTTGGGAGGTGAGTTTTTGGAGCGTCGAAATCGCCATTTTTTGGGGGGGGGGGGAAAGAGGAATAGAGATTTTGAGAAGAGGTTCAGTGTTCTGTTTTCAGCAATTTGGTTCACTTAATCCCACGGAAATTTGACCAAAAACTCACCCTATTAAAAAAAATACTAAATATCAAACACATTTTTCTAATTTTTTCTGATCTAGCACATTTTTTTCACTAGAGAGAAAGAGGCACATAACAAGATAGTCGCCTTAGTCAGGGTCCATGAGTTTTATGAATGGCGTATATTAGAGAATGTGTCTCCCTTGAATGGCACGTCGTACGAAATACACCTTCTATGTCTGATTTAGAATTTTATGTTAAAATGATTTTAGGGTTTTTTTTAATGATTTAGAGTGTTATATTTGTATGACTTAAGGGTTTTAAAGAAATTTAGGGTTAAAATTGATTGTTTGTTAGAATGTTTGTGTTTTTAAAGTAGGGTAGGGTTAAAATTGATTGTATGTTAGATTGTAAGAAATAAACGTTAAACATTTAATTGAAAAATTATATAGATAGTCGAAAGGGTCATCTTGTAAATATAAACAAGTTGAAATCGCATTAATTAAAACTAAAAGAAAATCAAATAACATAAGTTAAAACATTAGAAAATATGATTACATGAGTGGTGATCAACGGTTACGTGATGATGAAAGAGATTGATAGTTTCTCATATTGTGGTCGGGATTTCTGTAATAGTCACATCTTAAGTTTTGTCTTGACGTCTCTCGAATATCCATATCGCAATGAATTCGAGTGGATTTTGGACGATCTAGCTCATTTAATAAGTCTGGATCTGGCATAATTGGAAACCAAGTATAAACCTCATTTGGATTTTTGACATTACCTATGGGGAAACTCATATTAATATACCTCAAATACTTGTTAGAGTTGGTACACATGATCCACAAAACGCTTATAGTCTTGACGAGAAAATGAGCAAATTGCTATGACATGGGAGCATTGATACTTCAAAGCTTGAAAAAAACTTACAATCACATCATGTATCTCGTAGATTAACTCTAAAAGAGTTAAATTCAATCCCTTGTAGAGGTTATGACATTTTTGTGATCCGAAATAATTTTTGGGTGAGGGAAAAACTTATTACGGACATGTTGTTTGATGCTTCAACCTTGTGTTGCAGATCTGCTACTTATCGTGGGTGATAAACATGATTGTTTTGTACCTAAGTAAGAGTTTGTCCCCCGAGCTTGACAAAAATCTGACACAAACGAAAATACGTCGTTTTAACCAAAACAGATACTGGTAAATGACAGACCCCTTTTAAGGTTGAATTGATTGCCTCAACCAAGTTGGTTGTCATATGTCCATATCGATATCCACCATCGTATGCATTTGTCCTCTTTTCTTTGTTGAATTCACTTATGTAATTGTATCAATGTTCATTTTTTTTCTCGTAATTCTTGAAGCATAACCTCAAACGTTTGAGGTGAGAGTTTGTAACCTAAGCGAAATGAAGTAGTTATTATAAAAAATATGGTCATAGAAAAATATGGTCAGATAGGCTCGGTGTTTCCATCTTCTTGTTGCGAATAAAAACTTCTAATATACGATCATTTTCCTAACAAATAAATTCTAACCATTAAAATTCGAACTATTATTTCAAAATTATTTAAATAAATTTAAATAAATAAATTATAATAATTTAAATAATATATAATCGATTTCATAATATTCATAAATTTACAAAGAATATAGTTTTGTATTCTTACTGTATCGGAAAAATGAATCGAAATATGATCATCATCCAATCGCAACAACACGCCTTCAATTTTTTAACCGCAATTAATAAATATTAACTAAATAAGTTTACAATTAAATAATCAAATAAAAAATAAAAATAAAAATAATAAAATAATTAATTACTTAAATAATAAAAAAATTAATGAATAAAATAATAAATTATAAAGTCAATTATATCTTACTAGATTGAAAATAGATAGGAATGAGATATATTTAGGTGTGATTTATGTGAGTTGAGAGAGGGGTTTATATAGGCAGTTGGTTGTGGAAATAGGAGGGATAATTTGGCGGAAAATTAGGGCGGGAGGGGGAAGGCGGGAAATCGGGGCGGGAGGGGGAATGCACGCCCCATGGGATGCGTCTTCCAGGGTTTTCAGAAAACTCCGATAAGGCGTATCCCTGTGAATACGCCTTCCAGTGGTATCTGTAATTTTATCGGGTGTCAACGGTTTTTGGCTATCATGCTACGTGATTTTTTTATTAGATCGAGCAATATTTAAAAAAAATAGTGACTGACAGATAATATTTTATTTATACGGTGATTTTTTTTGTCAATTTGCCTAATCCCAGCCCTCCTTTGCTATCATGCTACGTGAGCTCCCATTTCCCAAGCCTGCCTTTGCATTTTTTCTTGCCAAAAAGATAATAGGGTAAACTACGTGTCTAGTCACCAAGTATTCTGCTTGTTTTGTTCCGGCCACTTAACTATTCTTTCTTAAAATTATATCTAACATTATGTTCTAGATTTATTTTGGTCATTCGTCGTTAAAAAATAAACAGAATTGTTTAGGTGACAAAACTGATGAATTGTTCAATCTCTTTAGTTTAATTTCAAATACAATTGTTATATCATAGTTTATATATTGCTATAATACTATTGATATGTGTTCTCTTTATTTGGTAAGGAGGGATGTTGATTACGTAGACACTATATCTTAATAAAAAGGAAGAATATTTATTGTTGTTGTTAATGATATTTAATTAGGATTAAAAAAATCCGAGTATTTATAATTTTCTAATAAATTATTAGACTAAAATAATAAAATTAGAGCTATTTAAATTATCAAGTATATGAAACTATACATCTTTATATTTATTGAGAAATTATGTTATCAACGTACCTATATTTTGGTTACATTTTTTTTAATTTAATGACTCATTGAGTAATTTTTGTTATATTTTTAGTTTGTGCATCGATTTTTTTAATTTAATGATATTTAATGACTCATTGAGTAAGACATTACATTCGCTAAGGCACGAAGCTAAAAGAGGTATTAATCCTTTTCAATCACTCCATAATATAGAATTACAATATAAGGGTGTGTTTGATTCATGGAATGTAGCATTACCTCCGGAAATAAGATTATCGGAGTGTAATATTACCTAATACATTACTGGGAACGTTGCATTGTTGTGTTGGTTCGTTTAGCAGGAATGTAAGATTACAATGTTTGATTAAAGGAATAAAAGATTATTGGAATGTATATTTTACTAAATTGTCCTTATTATATATTGATTTTTTTAACAAGTTGAATTGTAAATATTCAAATAAAAATATTTGTATAAAAGATCATAGAAAATATATAATTTTACTATTTTTAATTTATATATTTTCTTTAAAAATTTTAAATTCATAAAATTTATATATTTTTTTTACAAAATTTAAAAGATAAATAGGTTTAATGAAAGGGTTTAATTTTGTTTTAACCTCTGAACTTCATATAAAATTCTAATTATGATTTTTTTTAAATCTAAAATAGTTTAAGGATAAATTTACAATTTAATCTTCGTAGAATTTTTTTTATTCAACGATAGAAGAATGCTATTTTTTTGGGGGGGGGAATATGTTAAGGACATTTTAGTCCAAAACGCCGGGAATGTAACAATACCTAAGGGATTGGGGGGAATCACATTACCGGTAATAAGCTCCCAAAATGCCATTGTTGGGAATGGCTTATTACCGAGGGTTGAGAATCTTTGCAATCCAAACGGGAGAATCACATTTGGGAAAAAAATTTCCCCCCGGTAATCTCACAATCCCCCATCCAAACTTATCCTTAAAAGGTAAACTTCGACTATATCATAACAATATCCCAAAAAAAACACACTATATATTACCCTTTTCCAATGTAGTTAGAGGTGTTCATTCGGTTAAAACAGTGGCCGACCGAACTGAAATACCCTTAACCGAATTAACCAAACTTTTTTTCTTTAACCGTTAACCGAACCAAATTTCGGTTAATTCAATTAATTTTTGAATTAACCGAATTTTTTTAGAATTTTCTAATTTAATATTTTTTAATTAAAAAAAGTTTACAATTAATTTAAATAATATCTAATTAATTTGATTCAAACATTATATTAAAATAAGATATTTGTATCTATCAATTTAGTTTAAAAAACCAACAAATTTGAAATTCTAAAAAATAAATGGGTTTTAAATAGATTGGGTCGGCTGAGTCTCTTAATATAATTATATTTAAAGGTTAATTCGGTTAATTAACCTATTTCGAACCGAATTAACCGTTAACCGAATTTCAAAAAAATCATTAACCGTTCCCCGACCGAATTAATTGAACTAATTCGGTTCGGTCGGTTAATGTGGTTAAAACCGAATTTTGAACACCCCTAAGTGCAGTTCGATCTCTTGGTTGTTTCAGTATAAATTTCATCAATAGTCCCCGAGGTTTTGTTTTAATGCAATCATTTACGTAAAAATAATCACTTTAAAATCCAAATGAAAAGGTTTATAGATTAAAATCAATGCATAACCAAGTGTTATATATATATATATATATATATTTGAAACTATGAACAAAAGGTATCCCGCTAATTATTGATGAATGATACACTGTCATTGTATAAGCGGGTGCAAGGGAACACATATATATGGAACTTTCCTTTCGTCCAACGTCGAACTTGGGAACATAGGTGTTCAGTTTCAAAGCTGAAGAAAAACTGGGTTTCCTCCCTCCAAAATTGTAACTTTCATTATCTAAGCCTCAAAAGAAAAACATGCATTTGATTTCAAATATGATAAGTGTTAGCATAGCATACAAGGAAAACAATACCAAATATTGGACAATCTGGCTCCGGATATACCGCGGCAATCCAGGCTAGTGGTCTACAAGAAGAATTTGTCTTCTTCAAATAACGGCATCGCATACAATCAATGATCACGCCTTGAAGGTTCGCATCAGATTTGTAGCAAGGTTAATATCAACTCTAAGCCTACTACTCAGCTGCTGCAAATACAA